AGAGAGAGAGAGAGAGAGAGAGGGATTCAACAATGCCCTTTAAGGACTCTTTGGAATGGAGAATCCAGCAGTGTCTATACCATAGTCCAGCTGTGTTGGCACACTACTAATGGAAATTAGATGAAAATGGACAATTTGTGTTGTAAGTTGCAGGGTCTTGAGTATAAAAGGATTGATGGATAGAAGTGTAGAACCATAGGTACCGGGATCTCTCAACCAAGGGGTTCATCCCGGTCCATAAGCTCTTTACAGTGCTCTGAGACACGGGTTCCAAGCGTTTATTTGATTTAGGGATCTAGATCTGTTAAATTGAGGATCTAGATCTGCAAATTAAGGATCGAGATTCCAAGTTAATGGGCTCCAGATCTCGATTTTCAAAATCAGTTCCATGAGTAATGGGAATCGAGATTCCAAATAGTGTGGGCGAATGATGAAATTAAAAACATCGATAAGAGGGGATATCTCATATATAGTATTGTATACAATCTGCATCTGGTGTGTGCATGTGTATATCACTAACCCATCTTTGACCGCCCATCCTCAACGACGATCAAATTGTAGCCGAGCCCCAAGGATCTTCATTCACTCAAGAACATGGTTTGTCTACTATGTCGGACTTTATAACATACAATTGATTACTAAAGGTGTGTATTACATCATGTACATGAAGTTTATTGTATGAAGTCGATAGCTGAAAAAGGTTTCTTCACTGTATTGAAAGGGCATGACGGTCTCTTTGAAATGCTTCCCTCTTGGTTCCCACTTTTTGTCATTGATTGGGTTCAGTTCACCTCTAGCAAGGGATATAAGATAGTTTATTGTTGTCTCACACACACACACGCACACAAATCACAATGTTCCCTATTGAGGAATTTGAAGTACATTATGCTCCTTTCACACCGAGGACTTAAGATATGTATCCTCATAATGGATTTTCAGTTTCAGTTCTCATGTATGAAACACACTCCAATAGTAGCAAAAAGTCAAAGAGAATTTAGAGAAGTTTTTTTAATTCAGAAAAAAATAATGATAGTGATCAATGAAATTCTTTCCTAAAGTAGAGTCTGTAGTTATGTGAACTCTGGGATTCTTGACCCTAAGCTTGATAGGAGCCTCGATCCTAAGCTTGACGAATCGTGTTCCTATAGTATTTCACGTTTTTGGGCCAAGTTAGATCATGCTCCCTTAATGTTGGGAGCTTGATCCCTTTACGTCATGCGGTAAGGATCTTGATCACTCATCTACGGATCTTCAAGCCTCCCTTGATCCTACAGTCCGCTTCCAGTACAGGAACCACCCTCACACCCGGTCCTAGGAACTATGTGTAGAATCCCAAGAACAATTGTTGTATTTTATTTGTTTATTTGTTTATTTTTTTGGGTGGGGGGGGGGGTCGGAGTTGGGAGGAATTTCTAGAGAGTGTGCTTTTGGAAAAGAAAGTGTGCTTTTGGAAAGGAAGTGTGAGAGAGAAACAAAATTCATAGCCGGTATTTCTAGTGAGAAAATGGGAGTATGGAAGACAAAAGGCTGAGAAATTTTGGAGAGTAGGGAGGACCTTGACTACCTAGAAAGTTTGGTACACTTTAAGGTGAAATTTCTAGAGAAAGGGAGGAAGGATGAGAGAGTAAGGTAACTGGCCTTTGACGTTTGATGAGTGAGAATTTATCGGAGAACCCACATCGTGAGGATATGTGAAAGGCCATGGAAGCATTAGAGACACTGCAAAGGAAGAAGAAAATGCCATGGCTGAGTGTTGTTGAGAGAGCTTTTTGGCAGATACTCTATCAGGAGCAGATTTGCAGGTTTTCTGGCACTAAGGAGAAATGGTTGATTTGTAGAAGGAGGTTAGAGAGAGGAGAGAGAGAGAGGAAGGGGGGGGGGGGGATTGGGAGGGAAGTGGACGTTGGTAAGCCTAGATTTCCCTGTAGAAATATGTGTCAAATCTGCTCCATCCAAATAATAAATGGGTGGCGCAGATGGCTGCATACTTAATAGATAAGGCAGCCTTTACCAAAATTGGAACCTTTCTATTTTATGTTGATTTTAAATAGTTCTTCATAAGCTGTGTATAGTTTCTTTAAGAAGGGAGGATCTTAAAGAAATAGGTTCTTAAAGAAACGGGTTCTATGTTGTTCAGCAAAGGAAGCTATTCCTGCGTTAGTGGGTTAAGAAGAGAGGCAAGGCAAATTATTGTGGTGGTCCTCCTATGAAAAAAAAAAATATGGTGTTTATGAATATGAGGAACATCTGAGTTTACAAGGAAAGTCATCAAAGCATGAGGTGTTTGTCAATTTTTACTGAAGGGACCTTATTTCTTAGATTTAGCTCAAACAATAAATCATTGCCATTGGAACAATAGATTTCTCATATATCTTTCTAACTATTCACGCTCAAAGAGGATTCTATATATTAATCACGTAGGCATTTGAAGGAGGTTTTTCTTGCATGGGAGTTCTTGATGGATTTTGTATTTTGGATTTTACTGAGGGAGGCAAAGCCATAGTGTTAACGAATTTGGTGTGACTATGGATAACATGAGGTTTTTTAGATGATATGCCAACATAGAATTGTATTGATAATTACCCCTTAACCAGTTTTTCCATTCGTTCACTCCAAAATTCTCCGTTTCTTATGTTTTGATTGGGAATGAAATATTCTTTCTATTTCCAAATAGTCTTTTATTCTATCTTTAATCGAATACGCTCTGCGGTATTGAAATAAAGATCCCAAGCTATACTTCTTAATAACTGGGTCTTGTTATTGCTTTGACTCATATTCCTCAAAAAGTGGGTCACGCTCTCATGCATTAAGATACTAAGGCTTCTTATTTCACAACAACAAAAGCCCTTTTTCATTCTTTCATTTACTAGGGGATTCCACTTGGAAAAGAGATCTTTGAGAGTTGTTTCATGGATTTGAAAGAGAGTACTTGGCTTCTCCCAGTAACTAAAAAGTGTATCATGCCTGAATCTAACTGGGGTTTGTTGTGGTGGAGGAACCGGATCAGAAAGAAGAGGGATTTTAGTTGTAAGATATCTAATGAAATAGTAGCTGGAATTGAGATCTCATTCAAAGAGAAAGATATCAAATATCTGGAGTTTCATTTTGTATCCTATACGGATACGGATCCGCAATGACCATGGTTTGGAATTGTTTGATAGTTTCTGTTTCCTTTATTTTCCATGTCTCATCTTGTAATATTTGTCTATCATATGTATAACTATCCATTAACAGAAAAAAAGAAAAAGAAAGGGACCATGAAAAGCAAAATTACAATGTCATTTACGATGTTGCTTAAGGTTTTCATATTTTTATGTAGAAGTAACTTTATAAACTCTAGTAAATAGTTGAACATTTTGCGGAGATATCGTGAAATGAGAACTCCGCAAGTAAAACAAATATCATGATCCTCTGTGATGAGGATAAGAGTTGTGCCTTACCAATCATATCTTTGATAGAATCTATTTTGATCTCCAATTTGACAGGAGAAAATGGGAGAGTAGATTGAAAATTGAGCGAAGAAAGGAGCTTGAAATATGTTGCGGAGGTAAACAAATTAACCTTAAAAAACATAAACAATTTGAGCAATCCCTTGAGAACTAGTGGCTTCATTCAATGTTAGTTCTATAGTACTTTACTTGGAAAGGTTGCTGACTTGTCGATGAAATCAAATGATTCTTCCCATGGAGACAACATCTTGAATCATTCAAGTTATTGCAATTATTGCAATTATGCTTAAAAACAGGATCATGTGATGGATCTTTTGTCCTGAAAATTTATTGTGTTCATGAAAATACTGGTTGAGGAAGCTCTAATATGTCAGGCCTATATAGATACATATATATGTATCTACGTATGTATGTATGTATGTATGTATGTATGTGTGTAATGTAAGTAATGTATGTATATATGTATGTGTATAGGGTTATTCTAGAATTCACCATCCTAACGGTGATTGTAGAGAACTCTACTCTCAAATTTTGAATAGTAAGTTGTCCTTAAAATAATTAAAGTTATATAAATGTATACCTTTTTGTCAACTTGGAAAAGGGCATTGGATGTAATTGTTAACACCGCCCGATTTTGACAAATTTATAACACCCTCTTCATCTCTTGCCTTCCTCCTCTCTCCATCTTCCGGTGAGAGCACCTGCCTTCCACCTTTCACCTTCCTCACCATCTTCCTTTGGGCAGATCTCTCTGTCTCTCTCTGAAATTGAATTCAAATAAAAATTGACCAAAATATTCTTGAAAGTTTCAGGTGTATTTTCTGGAGTATTCTGCTTGATTTTTTAGTTGAATTATTTTATTTTATTTTTTATTGGTGTGCCCTCATGTTAATTGTACTTCAAAAAATAAAAATAGAAAATGAAAATGCATCATTCCAATTGTCCATCCTAAAGAGATCAGAGAAGACTACTTATCTTCTAATGGAGAGAGAGAGCGAGAGAGATTTTTCCCTAATGGAGAAAAGTAGCACTCGTGTTCCAAGGAGAAGAGAGAGGAGAGCTTCCCTTTCGGTTGGTGGCTTGTATCATATCTGGGAAAAATCATGACCAATAGAGAGGTAGATAGAGATAATGCATTGTGATTGAGAAACAGTCAATCCAAACCTTTGCATCTTATAAGCAGTCGCATATTTATACTAAAAATCTCAAATACCATGAGATTTAAATAAACACACGAGAGAGAAGAAAAAAAGAGAAGAGGAAGAAACCCATAAATACATCTCTACCGATCCCATAAATCACTACATGGTAGCTGAAGCCGACCGCAGTGCCCCACCAATACCATTGCTGCTCGCAGAATTAGGTTCTGCCTCGCCCTGGTCTGCAGGTGTCGGATGCCATTTTCACTTCTTCTTGTCGTGAGGAATGTCCCTCATGGAAGATGCCATTTTCCCTCCCACACCTCTGCCCATGAAATCCTTACCACCCGCTTCAATGCTGCAGAGTCACCTCACAAGATGGTCCTTTGTGTTCCCTAACTGGTAGAGGTATTTGAGTAAATCTATCAAATGGGCACTGCATCTAGAGAGAGAAAGTGGGCCTCGTGGTTCTTATGGCAGAAGGTGTGCCAGTCCCTATGCTTTCGAAACTTGTATAGGCTTTTTGGTCTCCACTTTACTGTTGCCCTGATTTTCAAGAGAGAGAGAAAGAGAGAGAGGAAGGACTTTATGTTAAAATTATTATCTCTTTAGAGTGAGAGCGAGGAGGGGGGGGGGGGGGTATGTGTGATCTGATCTTGAGATCGAGTTGGGATTTAACGGTCATGATTTGGTGTCACTCTCAGTGACACAGATGATCATTATTAATGTGTATGCGAGCGTGTGTAATTTTTTAAGAACTTATTTACACATTGCTTTTTTGTTCTCTTGGGTGAGTAAACATTTCACTCATAGTTGTTTTGCCATAAACTTGTACGGTTTATGCTTTGGCTTGACACATGGATGTATTTTGTTCTAGCATGTGAATCCATTACTGATTACAATTTCAATGTTGTCTTAGAGGACTCTTAAGGCTTTTTAGAGTTGCACTGCAATATGGGGAACGAAGAGATGGACGCACCAGCTAAGACTTCAAAGGCCTCGTCATTACAGGTTAAGCTCTAACCCAAACATGATGCAGTACACCGTATGAGTTGTCCTTTAAGATGTGTTTTTTATTTCTGCAGGAGCAGCTTCCTACTAGCGTCCCTGCCATGGTTTACTCTGATTGGCATCAGGTACCCCATGTTATGTATTTATCTGGGAAATGGGGAAGTGTAATATAATCCAATAATCCAATAGACTGCAGAACAGTTTAGTCCATCCGGTCATTATCATTGAATGAGATATGAACTGTGATGGATAGCTGGTGTGGACCCATGTTTTGGTGGGTCCCATTTCTCTCTGTTACTGTCCATTATACCGGATATAATGGCCCCAATGTGAGAACCAGGGGAAATTGTATTTGTCAAAGTAATATTACTTAGCATCATTAAAGAAAAGATGTTGTCATTCTCCATGAAACTTCACTGATAAATATACTTACTAGCAGGCATTTTATAACTCGGCTGGGACCACTCCCATTCCTTCACCCTTCTTTCATTCTCCCGTGCCATCCGGGCCTCAAGCACATCCATTCATGTGGGGTTCTCAGGTATTCAATTCTGTTAAGGGATGTATTAATGTGTAATGAAGCGAATATTGATGTCTGGGTTTTTGTGCTGTTGTCATTACTCAAACATAAGACTAGGTGAAACTGAAGTTATGGTGACTGGCCAATTTTGAACAAGAAATTTAAGGCCAAATTGTCAATCTTCAATGTACAAAAATTTGGCTGCCCGACCATTTAGGCAACCATGTTTAAAATGAGCTCATGAGGGGGTATTTATAGGCATTTTAAGACACATGGGATGATATGCTTGGAGGTGATTAATCTAGGCCCTCCATATCTTCAACCAAGGCTACAAAGAGAGGCATGATCCTAGCCCACCATCTACCATCAGCCATCTTGATGGGTAGCATGGATTTAACACCCTTATCTTCTTTTCTCAAAAAAAAAAATAAAATAAAAAAAACACCCTTATCCAAACTCCAATTTCCCTTGTGATGATGCTCTTTAATTAATTAAAACCATATGACCATGATGAGGGTATGCCCTTATGGTGTGGTTTCTCAAACTACCTAGGCGTGTCCTAGGCCCAATGGGAGGGGGGGCAGTCGGACTTGTTTAAGGCACCCGTTAGATGCTCAAGGTGGGTGCCTAGACGGGTCTCGGCGACCGCCTAGTGTCACCTCCTTGATTTTTATTTATTTTTATTTAGTGAGAGAATTAGGTCTATGGAGAGATTTTTTAATTGTTTGTACTTCTTTTAATTTATTTTAGAGAAAAAAGTATTTTTTTAATAGAAGTATCTTTAATTTTTGTATATTAAAAAAGTAAAGTGCCGGGCATAGTTCTTATAAAAGTAAAGTATCTTCTTTCTTTTATTTAGTAAGATACCTTTCTTTAATTTTTAGAATAGAGAGAGGGAACGGTCCTTAAAAAAGCACACATGTGGCACATTTACACAATAATACATGCACATCGCCATGATATTTTTTATACAACTGCACATTACCTGCCATTAATATTAATTTTTTATACAAAACTGAAACTATATAAAAGTGAGAGAATGCCCCCTCCCCCCCAACAAAAAGAAAAAAAGAACAAAAAGAAAAATAAAAAAACCCTAGGGCCTAGGCGGCTGCCTCCGTGTTCTTGAACATTGTCAAACTTTGTTTTGGTCCAAATTTTGTAAAGGCTACATTCACCATCCATTCCTCTGAAAGGCCCACATGGAAATTCATCCAATAGAGTTAAATCTCTTATCATTTGCCTGTGGGAGCTGACAGCGGATGTAGTTTCAGATTACCGTATACCTCCACTGATGATGGTGTACTTTCCCTTTTGGAAAAGAAATGACCACCATATGGCAATGTGGAGATTTTCTCATATTTGTCCTTTTGCAGCCAGTGATGTCTCCATACGGAACACCATCACCATCTTATGTTGCAGTGTACCCTCCTGGTGGACTTTATCCTCACCCCTCAATTCCACCAGTATTTCCTTGACATGTGCTCATGCTTACGAGATTTACAGACGTGGATGCATATGAGAGAGAGAGAGAGAGAGAGAGAGTGTGTGTGTGTGTGTTAGGGGGTGATTCCATGCAACAGTTCTATAGTAATATAATAAAACAATCTTCAAAAACCATTTTAGAGCCATTTTGTTTGTCCCATTTAAATATACATTCTTTGAAAACATCCCATAGAAAGTGCTTTTTAGCCCAATTAACATAGGCCGTCCATGTTAGTTAGATGCTTAGATTTAGGCCTGAAAATGATTTTTTCCCTTTCCAAAATTTTGAAATGGTTTTATTATCATTAGATGAACAATGTTTTTTTTAAATATTATTAGATGAACAATGTTAAAAAATAAAAAAATTGATTTTGAGTTTGTAAAGGCCTAGATCTTGAAATTCACTAAATGGATGGTCTAGATTCTTTGTTTTGGGACTCATTTTGACCATATCTAGGGTGCAAATTGAATTTTATCCTTTTGGGGATTGATTATTGGGATGAAGAGAGGGTGTTTGCAAATTTTGACGGTTATACAAATGCCACAAACATGTCTTTCTAGAAGTATGGTTTCACTAAAGTATAATGTCATGGTGAAATGAAATCAGTTCCTATTATTGACTAAAATTGTATGGTTTTGTTTGCCTTATGTAACCATAATAGGGATCTCATCCATTTAGCACTTATTCTGTTCCAACCAACCCAAGTGGAACTGCTGAAACTCGTGTGAGCACTAGTTAGTTTCAAAGTAGCTGCCGAAAATTTGCATATTCCATGGTTTCTTATTGAATAGAAAATTTTCTCTTTTGTTCTTCTAATGTTTCTAAGTTGCCTATTTTTCTTCTGAGTAATCATGCTATAGTCTAATGGTTTATGGAAAAAAAAACATGGTCCATTGGGTCATCACCATTGAAATGATGAATGGTGATGAGAGAGAGTAGGACCCATCAAATTTCAGGACATGATCCAATGATTTATTCTGTTACCATCTGTTTTATTGGATGGTGATGACTCACCTTGTTTCCTGATTCCGTTTGACTACAGTATATTTTCTATATCTTAAACAGTGATTCTGTGTACATTTAAATTTGATGGTGGCACTACATTTTCATTGGTATATTATGACAGCACAAACATTTAGCATACTTCAAGCCTTTTAATGAAACGATGGGGTCACCGTGACTTTTTTGCCTTTCGTTTGTTACCTAATTATTGTGAAATTATATTATCTGTATTGAAATCACTCAAAAAAAAAGTTGATCAAAATATTTATTGAATTAAAAAATAGATGGACCATGAATCTAATTAATAATGGTGGATTTTCAGGGGAATGCTCATGGTGCTGATTTAGAGAGTAAATCGTCAAAAGGCAAGGTCAGGACTCGTCCAAAGAGATTCAAAGAAAGCTTAGGCAGTCTGAATATGCTTACAAGCAGGAGTAATGAGATGGGGGTAGGGGCATCCAGGAATGTCCTCTTTTCCCAAAGGTATTGTTCAGTTGTCAATGGCATCTTTTCCCAAAGGTATTGTTTAGTTGTCAAAGACAGAATACTTACAAAGTTAGAAGGTGGAGTATATTGCACTCCATTGGACTATGGAGAAACTGTACCCATTAGGTCATCACTGTCAATTGAAACAATGATGAGAGAGAGTGGGATCGACCAGAACATGAAATGACCCTAATGGATGATCCCACTGAATCAATGATGAGAGAGTGGGATCGACCAGATCCCACTCTTTACCAACATCCTTCACTGATGGTGATTAAGCAATGGATGGTGGTTTCTCTATAGTCCATCGGTTTAAAGTGTGCTTTCTCAAAGAAAATCCTGCAATTTGTTGTGACTTGAGGCATTCGGAACATGATGTGCAGTAGAGAGAGTGGAAGTGAAGCTTCAAGTGCTGGAAGTGATGCCAATTCCCAGACTGTATGTAAATTTGTAGATTATCTAAACTATGTTTTCTTATTTGGCTTGAAATCTGTACCCTTTTTTCTTGCCTATTTATTTTCTCAATTTTTGTATGATTTGTTGAGGCTTTGTTTGGGATTGGTGTCGGCAGTTGGTAGTGCATGATTGCGTGGTGTATGGTATGAAGAAAAAGAGGTCCAACCCCTTTCCAGATAAGAATGTAAAGTGCCACTTATTAGCGGCATTTGCATGACAGTAAGAACAAGATTGCACATCCCAAATGACCTAGCATTGACTGCCAACACCATCTCAAGCATTATACCTGAGAATCCATTGTAGAAGTGTTCCAAGACACAGCATAATTTGTTACTTGAAAACTGGTTTCGATTAGTTATTCCCACTAACATACCAGTAATCTTCCTGTTGCTTCAAGCATGCGTAGTGATTGTTTATCTCCCAAAAACAAGTAGAAGACAAATTGTAAAGCTAGGTTATCCTTCTTCTCAAATGGGCTAGGCCCATTGGGTAACAATGAGATATGGCCATGTTATTTCGTGAATATTTATTGGAGATCTTCCAACACTCCAAAATCAGAGATCCACTCCTTTTCTTGCAACATTCATGAAGTCGTCGGGTGTTACAATTTGTTTTCCAAAAATGTCGTGACTAGGCAGATGCTCCAAATTGAGAAGGCTGGTTCATTTCCTCATTGAGATGATTCAACATCTCTTTGCTTATGAAGGCTGTGTTTTGTTAATATAGTTCCAATCGATGCCTAACTATTGATGTACTCTTTGTTGTGAATGAAATATCATTATCAAGGAAAGAAAAAGAAAATCTCCATTCGCAAAGAGGGATATTGAATCCTTTATTAAAAAGGTGGTTGGCATTCATTTCACTTTTGAGCATATTCCCTTTGTTCTTGCTTCACTTACTATGATTGGTAGCCTTCTGTTGGTTATACGAAGGAAGTGACAATTACAACTTTGGGGTGAAATTTGGAAAGATTTGTTACACCCACAGGAGAAATAAGTAAATATTTTCATTCTATTGAACTTTAGCACCGGTAATTCACAAGTTTGCCTAGTGTATGTATTTATTATAAACTATAAAGTAATCTCCATGCACCATGACTGAAGGATGCAGAGTATACTATTACAGTGAACATACGTTGGTTCCTGTACTTTAGTTGATTATGATAAGTGAAGTTTGTTATAACTTTGTTTGTGCTGCAAATGTTCTCTGAACTCAAATTCAAAAGTTATTGATTGCCAATGTGCAGTTGTTTCGAAACTTGAAAGTTAAATTTGATAAAAGTCATGCCCATTGCATTACAAAAGAATCCCACAGTATTTGAAACTGTAGTATGTATGCATGCCCTCTCTCACACACACACAAACATGCACACACATATCTATATACATACATAATTATATAATTCACATGTATATCATACATACATATGTATGTGTGTGTGTGTGTGTCTGTGTCAACCTTGCTGGGTCTAAGCTATAGGAGACAGGTAAAGTTTAAGGAAAAAATTCTGAGGCTTTGCTTTTGTGCTCGAGGAAGAAAGCTGTTAGTTGCAGGTGCAAGACGACGAAGCTGGTGGGGCCGCTTTGTTTTTGCCATTAGACATCGTCGTGCGCTCCTACGACGATGCCAAAAGGGCTGCCTTAGGGACAACGAAGATCAAGATCCGAGCCCGCCTGTGAATCTTTTGAGTTTGTCGTCCTATATATTCACCCATCGTTGATCTTGGGAGAGCCTGACGCTGAAGCATAATGAAAATAAATCTCATATTGTTGTGAAGGAATACATTGGAATATGGATTGCTTTTGTGGACATCTTTTCTCATTTATCAGATTTACAATGTATAAATGTTTTTTAATTTTAACATGTTTTGTGTATTCACAGTGTACGTAGGGTACTTCAGTGAGTTCTACATCTCTATCATTATATTCGGCCTTTTAACACTTCCATTTATGGATCATTTGAATTGATGAAAGATGCCAATTGCATTTCCTTCATGGCAACTAGGATTTTTTCGTTTATTTAGATGCCAAGCTACTTAAATTGAGTCCAGTAAAAATCCTTCAAAAATCGTATATGACTTCATCTTTGGTTTCCTTTACTACATTAATTCCCATGGCTCCTAAATTTTAATTAGAAACCTTTTGCACTTAAAATCTAGCTTTCTTTTTCTCGTCAAATCTGAATTCAAGTCTGTTTCTGTAAACAATAACTGAAAAATGCAGCTCGTATTTTACTTTTAGAAAGGAAAACACCATTTAATTGAGCTATTAATAGTCTTCTTATTCAGAGTTTTACTTGGTCTAGGGTTTCTATATTCTTTTCTTTGGTGGTTGTGGTTCATGCTAAGCCCCTCTGCCAATTAATTATGCTAGTGAGATCAGAACTCGAATAGTTGTGAGCTTAACTACTTGTTTGATTGTGCAAACTGAATTGATGCTCTCTTATCTGAGAGTAACCAAGGGCATAAGAGCCTTATACTGCTCGACCATCTGCTCTAAATTTCGATTCATTTGCAACTGATGGCCTTCAGGCCTTTAGGTTTATTTGATAGGTGCCAAACCTACCTACCTTATTACGAATCATAGAACTCCTCATCCACAGCTCCACGCCATGTATGTATTTGCATCTAGGAAACCCAATGTTTGCTCCACGGAGTCTCATCTGGTGCAACTCCATGTGCTAGATAAGTCAAGTAGTAGGGTCTCAGGATGACTCGAGTAGACGTCCTAAGCCTAGGAGGCTCTGGCTATTGAACATCTCCCACAGGAGGGCTCGTCATTGTCCTCACACAATTTTTCTCGAATTTTCCAAGTTCTTGAGTTTTAGAGCTGGTGTGTATTCTTTTATGACCTACTTGATCAATGTTTTGCAGGGTTCACATGAAAAACCACCCAATCAAGGTCCAGTAGAAGGTATGTTTATGCAACAACGAGCCTGCCTGCCTTTTTTCCTTTATAGTTTCGGTAAAAATTGAACCAGGGATGTAGTGTTGCAATGGTTAGCAACTAGAGCCTGTCAAGCCCAAGCCTTGTTCCTGCTTGCTTGGCTTTTTCTTATGTGAGTGTTGGTTTGGCCACCCAAATTATTAGTAATGGTGTGGTTTGTATAAGGCTGAGGCTTGAAACAATCAAAGTAAGGTGCACCTTGAAATAGTGCCAAAAGATATTATTTCAGTACTATAAATCTTTGTGAAGACCTGAAAATTTAGTTTTATCTCTAATTATAAAATTTAAAGCTTCTAAAATAGTGTAGATCGAGCAGATCCATGAACACTTGATAATCTTGAAAATTGATGGTCCAGAAAATGCATTGCAAGATGCACTATTTCCAAGACTTGAAATCTATTTTTTCTCATGTTCATATATCTTAAGGTTGAGAGGATCGATTTGGGGATTTTTTAGGCATTGAAATAGCCTCTTTTAGGGAATTTTTTAGGTCCGCCTTAATTTGATTGTTTAGGGCCTCACCCTTATATAAACTTTTTCATTTTAGTAAAATCCTCCCAAATTTTTTCTGCTCCCAAAACACGGTAGTACTATTAGCCAAGTTTTGTTTTTGATTTGACCACTCACTATTTTTCCGCTGACATGGGTGGATCACAAAATCTATGGGTGGCCAAACTAGATCCCTTTTTCTTGACCTGGCAAAGTATAACTATGAGTTTCGGTTTCTATCAATGGTTTCAGGTGATGATGCTCAAGATGGAAATAGTGATACACGTGCTCTATCTTCCCAGACTCTGATGAACCAGACAATGACACTAATGCCTATGCCACCAAGTGGTATTGGTGGTCCCATGACCAACTTGAACATTGGCACTGACTATTGGAGTGCATCCTCTCCTTCACCCATGGCTACGATTCGAGGCAAGCACCCTGCTTCTGGAACTAAACCTTCTATAGAGTCGTGGTTGAAGGTTCTCTCCCGCTCTCTCTCTCGCTTTCTTTCTTTCACACACACACAGAGATGACGCAAGGGTTTGTCTTCTCTCAGTAACGTACTGACAAAACTCTCTCTTTTATGCACATACACGCACACAAAATGACAAGCATTTGTCGTCTCTCAATAATATATCTGACAAATCTCTCTCCCATCTCTTCCCCCCATGCACAAAAAAAAGAAAGAAAAAACACACACACACACACATATGCACCCTTAGCATAATAGATCATACTCTCTCAACAAACCCTCTGATAGAACCTCTCTCCCTATCTCTCTCACTCACATGAACTTACAATTTCACTCATGCGATTTTCAAGTTTTTGTTTTCATCTCATGAACTTTCTCTTCTTTCTTCCTTGAACGTAGGATGAAAAAGAGCGTAAGAGGGAAAGAAGGAAGCTATCAAACCGGGAATCAGCACGACGCTCAAGATTAAGAAAACAGGTTGGAATATTAGTTGTAGCTATATGTGTTTTACTTCATTTTTTACGTACTTATATCCCCAGCGCAATAAGAAGAGAGCCAGTAACAACCTGGTCCTGACGGTACCCAAGATACTACTAGACTATGGGAACGCTGCAAAATAAAGATTAAAAATGAACATCCTCTAAAAGGAATGCTAGAATGGCCTCAAAATGCATGGAAAGGGGTAGTTTTGGATGCCCAAAGGACGCTCGCAAAATTTCGTGACATTCTGACAAGTCTTGATGTGATCAGAACGAAACTCAGTTTACAATCCAGTTCCTATCATGCTAAAAAAGAGGGCTTATAACTCAGTTCACAACTCCAGTTCCTATTATGTTCAAGTCGTGTGCGGAAGAGTTCAAACTCACTCCCAGCACCGCCTGTCCCCTTTCTCAGGGAGAAAACCGAATACGAGAGGAAAAGAATAAGAGTACAAAACATAAGCAAGAGGAGCACATGCGGAGAAAGCATTCAAGGCAAACAAGCAAAATAATTATTTGATGTATATGTCAACGAATTACAAGATTTGTTTGATTCTCAAGATTGCATGAGCAAGGAAGAAATGAAATGAGCGAAGGATTGAGAAACTCATGAGCCCCTAAAAACTGTCAAGAGCTCCTCTACCCACCTCAGCGCAGCTTGCTTTTGCTCCTTAAGGCGAGAAATGGCTTGAACGACTTCATTTGATAAAGCACTGACTGCTGCCATCTCAGAACTCAGTTGCTCCAATTGTTGAGACCTTCTGTGTATCTCCGTTTGCTGCTGGTTCTGCCGGGTCTTCAACTGTGCCACGCGAACTTGCAACGTCGTTATTTCATCTTCCACGGCCTGTATCTCGCTAGAAAGGAGTGCGCTGTCCTCTATAAGATGAACTTGACGTGAAGTTAGTTGAGCCTTCCTCTTCTCATCCTCTCCATCTGAGCCTGCTGCTTAGCTAAACCTTCCTCAGAAGAAACCAAGTGTGCCTCTTGAATGCTTGCACTTCAGACTCACGCTGAAGGACTTCAGCTTCCCAAGCCTCAAGATCTTGCAGCAGCCCTTAAGATGGTCAAAGGTTTCCTCATCATAATACACAGCCTTTAGACTAGTTGTACAAGCCTTGACAACTTTCTATCTCCACCTTGAGGTTGGAAAGGGCACACTCCTTTATCCTTTGGAGGCCTGATCATAGCATACGCCTCACTAGGAGTGCCTTAGCAT